GACTGTTTCCTTCTGCATCTCTTGAAACTGCCTCATCCCGATTTAGAGTCAATCCTTCCTCCTCGCTGCACCCCTCGCCTCTCCTCTGCTCAGGGATATCACTGCAGCATTTCCCCCCTTCTCTCCCGAGTCCTTAAAAACACGCTGAAATAATCTCCCACTTAAACAATACACAACATGCTGGAATGATCTCCCATCTTTAAACAGTACAAAAGAGAAAGCCTCTCCTGAGGCTGCATGCCCCCCAGACTGCTTCTTCTTACCCGCCCCCTTCGCAGCAGAGCCCCCTGCTCTGCCCGCACACACCTCCCCTCCAGCCCTTCTTTCCCGAAACCTTATCAGTGGGGTTTTCAGCCCCACCGCCTCGCGGAATAGGGTAAGGTCCTGTTGAGGCTCCCACGGAGGCCTCCCCAAGACATCCCCTCAGCCGGCCCGACAGCCACCCCCTCCACTCCCGTGGCTCAGGACCCGCCCTCCCCGGTGCCGCCCGTCGCTCCAGCTCCCCCGAGTCATCTTCTGCCCCTGGGCTCCAGAGCATCCCTCTCTCTACTCCTTCTTCCTTCCGCACGAGCCCCTCCTTCTCACATTTCTCTGTTTGTCCTTAATCTCCTTGCCGTCCAAATTGTTTGTTCTTAATCTTCCTGATGTGCAGGGCTCTGTCCTCAGATCGCTTCTCTTGAGTGTCCACATCGCTACATAGTGATCTCATCCAGTCTCACGGCGTCACATGCCATCTACATGCTCGTGACTCCCCACTGTGTTACGGCAGCTTGGACCTGTCTTCCAAGTCCCAGAATCGGATATTTAACTGCCTGTTGGGCAGCAAAACTTGAATTCAAAGCAAGCGTTTCAAACTTAGCTTACCCAAAACTCTGCTCTGACCCCCGTCCCGCTCCCTACACCAGTGTCCTTCCTTTCAGTAAGTGGCCTCCACTCACCCAGTTGCTCAAGTCGAAACTCTTGAAATCATCATTGCCTCCCCTCTTTTCCTCATACTCTACCTCCAGCTCCTCAACAAACCCAGCTGGTTCTACCTTCAAATTGCGCCCCAAATACACTTATTCTTACTATAAGTATATTTAGACAAGCCAGAATTACTTCTCACCAGGATACTTGCAAGTCTCCCAACCAGTCTCCCTGCTCCCATCACGCTCTCCTGTAGTCTACTTTCCACACAGTAGCCAGAGTAACCCTTTTAAAAGAAGGGTCAGGCCCTGTCCCCCTTAGGATAAACTCCAAAGCCCTTGCTCTGTCCTGCAAATTCCAGCATGAAGCTGGCCCTTGACCTCTCTGCTTTCTCTCCCTCATTTCTCAGTTCTAGACACACTGACCTCTAACAGATCCTCAAACACACCCATCTTGCTCTCCTGTAGGGGCTTTTGCCCTTGGTTTCCCCAATACCCAGGAGGCTCTTCTCCAAAGTAGCTCCCTCCCTCACTTCCTTTGTGTCCCTGCTCCAGTGTCACCTGTCCGAGAAGCCCTGTTCACCACCTTTTAAAGCCTGGCTCTGCTTTTATTCTCTTCATATCCCTTATCCCTACCCAAATTTATATTATTATTATATATTTTTGATTGCCTATTTATTTTCTATCTCTACCCACTAGACATTAAAACCTTAAGAAGAATTTTACTTTTTTTTTTTATTGCTGCATCCCCAAAGCCAAGGGCTAGGTCTGACTCAGAGTAGTAGCCCAATAAGTATTTATTGAATGAATTATTTTAATGAATGAAGGAAGGATCCTCTAGTCATAGGCTTACTGGGATGATTACAGGAAGGAAACTATTTAGAGCAGGTTTTAGCACATGGTAAAGTACTCGAGAGTAGCTGTTCCTTTCACCATTATTATTAAAAATAGAATGGATGGGCGGTGGCAGTGGTGTATGGAAGCTAATCATTTTGCAACATCTGCTATTATCAGGCGTTGCTTCTATTTCTGCGCTTCATGTGTTCCCATCTGGCCTCTGCCCTTTTAGGGATAATTGGAGAAAGCATGTCCCTTTGAGCTCACTGCTCGGAATTTTTAACTTGTAGGCGTTTCTCTGAAGCTGTCCACTTGAATAAGAAATGTCACATTGGCTACCAGGGAAAATTCTCAAGCTCTAGAGGCAGGCAGGCTCTGAAGGTCTGGCAGAATTTCCAGCTACATCTCTCAGGGCAGAGTCTTCATTGACAAAATCTTGGCAGATTCTTTAACTTCCTGGTCACTTTAATTTATTAAAATCTGTCTAAGATAAAGTTCCAATCTCACCAAGTCTCCTTCCCTCCAGCACCAGGCCAGCATATAGCCAGAAGGACCTGAAGTGCAGAAGGTCTGTTCTGCTCATTTGCTGCTTCCAGGTCCTCACCTCGGTGTGGCTCAGGCTCAGAGACTGATTGTCTCATTCCTTTGTCTCAGGTACATTTGCTGGAGATGGAGGGTCCACCTCCAAATAAGTGCTGTGCTCCCAGGGGCTCCTGGCTCCAGTCTCCTACATCCGTCAGGATGTGCTAAGTTATGTACGATAACAACTCCAGAATAACTCAGGAGCACCTCCCTCTTCCTGCTTCTTCCACAGCCCCAGCTCCTCTGGCAGGTTTGGGCTGTAGGGCAGAGGGAAAGCGACAAGAGAAAAGTCTTGGCTGGCCCACTATTTCTGACCTTCCTATGAATGATGGTGCTGCTTCTCTGGCTAGCCCTTTCTGGCTGGTGATGCCCCATTGCTGGCCCCAGTGGGGCTTCTCTAGAGGGCCCTGCAGGGCCTCCCCTCTGTACAGTTACATGAAGTGGAGAGTTGGCCTCACATGGCCACCATCAACTTCAAATGAGCAACAAAGTACATTCCCATCACGTGCTAGGAAAGTGGGGTGAACAGCATTGTCTTGTGTACACACAATGGACACCCAACTTAATGGTTTAAAAGACTAGCCATCTCTTTAGTTGATGGTTCTGTGGGTTGACAATTTGAGCGGGACTCAGCTGCACAGTCCTTCTGCTCTCATCTACACTCCTGTAGCCCTTGCAGGGAGGCAGGTGGCTCTGCTTCTGGGGTCTCACTTGAGTGATGGAAAGTGACTGGGCCATGTGTCTCCCATCATCTTTCAGGCTGAGCTGGGTTTGTTCATATGGCAGTTTGGCATATTTCCAAGATGGATGGCAGAAGCATGGGAGGCACCTTGAGGCCTGGGCTTGGAACTGGCTGAGAGTCACTCTGCCACTTTCTACTGATCAAATTCCCAAAAACCAACAAGATTCAAGGAGTGGGAAACATGCTCCACCTTTGATGGGAGGAGCTGTAAAGTCACATTGCAAATGGTGAAAGGTAGAGAATTACAGCATTTTTGAAGTCTACTGCCCAGCACTGAAGAGCATCACGTCTTTCTGATCTTCTTAGGGAGAAGTTGGGGGACTGACGCAGAGGTGGCTAGGCTTGGCAGCCCAGATCAACTACTTTATGTGTCCTGTAGGGAGGTTGACCACACTTGATGCAGGTCTTTATTAGAATAATGTGCTTAGAATCTTTTGTCTGCAGCTTTTAGGCCATGGTCATCCATTCCAGGCAATAGGCCAAGTCCCTATGAATGTTCAATTACAAAAGGAACCATCTAAAAGGCAAAGTGACCTATTGCATGTCAGGCAGCTATTAAGTGGTTCATTTCTTTTATCTGGGCAGAGGGAAAACTGTATACTAAGGGCTGGTGATAAAAATGCATTGTAAAGCCCTGGCCAGTGTGGCTCAGTTGGTTGGGCATTGTCCTGTGCACCAAGAGGTCGCCAGTTCAGTTCCCAGTCAGGGCACATACCTAGGGCTGTGGGCTTGATCCCCAGTGGGGGCTTCCAAGAGGCAGCCAATCCATATATTGCTCTCACATCAATGTTTCTCTCTCTCTCTTCCTCTCCCTTCTTCTCTCTCTAAAATAAAAATCAAGACAAAAATGCATAGTAAATACCAGAGACTTTTTAAAGGCCACTGTGGCTGGGATGAACAGAGCAAGGTAGACAGTAGTGCACGCTGTCATTGGGATCCAGAATTGGCCAGTCGCTGGAGCCCATGACAATGAGCTTTTCTTTAAATTTAAGAACAAAGGAAACTTCATGAAGGACTTTAAACACATGCTCACACCTGTGTTTCCAAAAGACCCGTCTAGCTCCACTGTGAGGACTGGATTGGAGGTTCAGACTGGATCAAACCCAGACTTTTGGAAGTTAGAACTTTTCCAAGCCTCCTTGTGAGTCCCAAAGGCAAAGGAGAAATGGCCTAGTTTGCCAAATGGCCAACAACAAGCAGCAGGGGAAGGGGAAGAGCAGAGAATGTCAAATAGATAATTCCACAGTGCCCACCTCAAACACATACACACAGAGAGAGACATCTGAGCACACAAAGGTTACTCACCCATATGATTTAGACCCAAGCAGGCCTGAGAGTTTCTGGTTTGTGTTCTCTGGATGGTTAAGCCAGATTGATTCTGAGTCTGACAGTGGCCTCTCCTGCTTCGCTCTGTAAAGAAACAAACGGCTGCTAAGTGACCATGAGACAGAAAGGCTGGCAGAGACTTGGGCATTACAGACCCAGCCTCTGAGCCCAGGAGTTTGTACATGTGATATTTCCACAATTCAAATTCAAAAGGCAAATGGTGTCGAAGCCCAGTGTCATGGGATATTTTGACAGCACATTAGAGGGACCTCAAGGAGGAAGGGAGGGGGAGTAGGGGCAGAAGCTGACTTTCATTGAGGCTGGCGGTCTGGGATTTGTACCCCTGCATCGCCTCTTACTAAGTATGGGAAGGCCCTGGGCAGGGGACATCACTTTGAACACCCTCTTTCTGCAGTCTGGCTTGGCAGGGGTGGGCTGCTGAGTTCCCTCTGGGCACTGGCATCAGCCCACCCACAAAGGGACATCTATGCCCCTCTGGGAGGGCTGAGGGGGTCGTGGGGACAGTGCAGTGCATGGAGCGGCCGCCACCCCCTGCATGAGTCTGCACGATCGATCGTAAGAGCGTCTGTTCTGTCGTTGCATTGCAGCTCCAGAAACTAAAACGATCACTTTCTTTCAAGACCAAGAGTCTACGGAGCAAAAGTGCTGACAACTTCTTCCAGCGAACCAACAGCGACGCGAAGCTGCAAGGGGACGTGCTGGCTGAGGTCAGCCCCAGCTCTAGCCCACTCCCCGCCCCCGGAAGCCTGACGTCCACTCCCACCAGGGCTGGCTTGCACCCAGGCAACAGCAAGGCCCATGCCTTCCAGGAACACATCTTCAAGAAGCCCACTTTCTGTGACGTCTGCAACCACATGATTGTGGGTAAGTCTTTCCCCCACCACCTCCTCCAGGTCCCAGCGTCCCCTGGAGAGCCAAGGGAGAGCCGTGTAGCATGGGTCCCGTTTCCTGCAGACAGACTGCACCTCAGAGGGGTACACGCAGGAAGATTGTTTGGGGGGAACAATATTTGTGAAAAGGTGAGGGAAGCAGGTAACAAAACCTTCAGCCCATCCTCCAGGGAGCTTTAAACCTTTGTAGTCCAACTTGCATTGAGGCTGGAGGTCTGGGATTTGCTCTCCTACATCACCTCTCACTAAGCATGGGAAGGCCCTGGGCAGGGGACATCACTTTGAACAAAACAGCTCTTTTTAGCCAAGGCCAATTAGCAGATGGGGAATTAGTAGGAGGCAACCAAAATGCTGGGCACTGGGGGATAAGTGGTTCAGTTTTGCAGGGGACCTAAGTGAGCATCCCAGCATTCACCACAGTGCGCATGGGCCGTCTATCTGCGGTAGTCGGGAGATAGGGGACCTCAATGAGTTACTGGTGAATGACCCAGACAGACAGGTGTGGGGGGGGATGATTCTGGAGATAGGGGACCTCAGGGAAGTACTGAACCAGGCAGAAAATATGGTTCGGCCACCATTACAACCCTGGACCCTGAGAGAACTCACGGGGCCTCAGAGAAAAGGTGGTAGCCTGAGAGTCTTAGGGGTTGTACCCAGATGGAGAGAATGACCTATACAATGTCCCAGTTAGAAGGCAAATGTATGCCATTCAGAGCCACAGACACAGAGATTCCACTATTCACACTCCCCTACATCTCCCATGTCTGATATTCTTTGAAATGAAACCTGGAACATCTGTTGCTTCCCAAAGAAGCCAATGCCTTTCATCACTGAACTTGAACTGGTGGTTCCCAACATGGCCAGGAAGGCAGAATTCTGCAACTCCCTTCACCTTTGACCAAGATCCATTTAAGGGGTGGGATATTCAAAATGGGGAGCAATGTCAGCCCTTCTTGTGACCGTACATACAGGGCTATCTTCATCTCCAGAAAACCATTGTCTACTCACAATCTCATTATCTCGTCACTATTATTTGTGCAATTCCTTCAGACAGGCCAAATTTAGGATCAGTGTTTGTGTCAGTCAGAAATTTCCACAGTAATACTGTGTAACAAATACTCTCAAACTCTAGCGCTTAAAGTAGCTTTCACTCTCACTCAGGCATCTTCAGGTCAGTTGGGGCTTGGCTGATCCAGACTCAGCTGCTACCTCTTCTTCTCTCCATTCCTATTTCTCACTCTTTCCTTGGACCAGCGGGCTAGCTACGTCATGGCGAGGACCGGTGGAAGCATACAAATCTTAAGGTTCTGGGTGGGAGGTGACACGTCCCTTCTCCTGGCATTCCACGTGGGCCAAGCCCATGTCAAGGGATTTGGAGAAGTGCACTCTGCCTCGGTACCAGGGACTTCAAAGCCACCTGGCCAAGGGCATGGGTACAGGGAGGGGTGAAGGATGGGGTCAATAATTCAACCTACTACGGTGCTGAGGACGGCCTCTGGATTCGAACCTGTTTGGTTCGGTAGATTCTGCTGAGCCTTGGAGCCACACCACCCCTCAAATTCACTTCTCCACCTGGAAGCGATGCCCGGCATCTGGCTGCGCATGGTGGGGAGGAGGCCTCACCATGATCCGCGCCCAGAATTTGGAGGCAGTTTGGCTTCCAGCTCCGTTTTTGTGCCTGTCTCCCTAGGTTCCGAGTGTGACGCGCCCCTTTAATTTCCACCAGGCCTTTTCAAGACAGCGCTATTCATAACCCCTAAGCAGGTGATGCTGAGTCTCTATTTTAAATCTCATTGGGACCAGTGTGAAAAGACAAACAGAACACATGTTTTTAAAGTGAGTAAGGGAAATGAGTTCACCTCTGAAGAATGTCACCAGCATTACCCTAAAGAGACTTCTAGGTACACCTCAAGCACAGCAACAACTGTGAAAGACTTCTCTTTGAAAAATCACGGACAGCATGCCCCGTGCTGAAGAGGATTGCACTATACTTTTATCAGAATTAAATTTATATCATAGCTGCCTTTTTATCTTAAGGAAGGGGGAGAGGAAATAGTCAACAAGGCATGCAGTTCTTTTCAAAACTAAAATAAAGTAAACCCAATAGTAGGCTCCTTCTAGGAAAGAAGAAAGGGGGTTAGAGAGGCAGGAGGGGACAGGGAGTGAGGAGGGGAAGAGCAGTAAGTGAAGTAGAGGCTGCTGAATGTTCTGACCTCCGGAAACAGTGCTTAGGCCTGTACTCTGCGATAAAGGAGCCCGGAGCACACGGTTGTGGTGGGCACGTGGCATCCCAGGCAGGCAGGACCCCATCTGGCCGAGAACAATTCTCTGAATAAAGGGCACCCTTGAGCCATTGGCAGCCAACACTCACAGCATTCGCGTGACAAATAAGATGTGGACAGGGCACCAACAGCGTCACCACCTCTGTGAACACACTCCAGTGCCACGAGATGCTGTATAAAGGCCTCCCCCTGGGATGAATTTAAAGTGCTGATGGGCCCTGGGCATTCCTGGACCCATAATGTTGTGTTAGCGTTATAATGGATATTACACATGAGGCAATATTACAGCGCGGGAGTCCAGGACATCCCTGCTCTGCTCTCGTTTGACCATTAGTGTACTTGTTTCCTCACCTATTCTGACCTCATCCGATTGCTCAGAAAAAGCCGGATCAACCAAACCTTGAATGGAAAAAATACACACACACACACACACACACACACACACACCCCTAAACAAACGAAGCAGTGTTCGCTCGCCAATTAAGTTGTCTCTTGGTGAGAAAAGCCAAACAGGAATCAAGGGGAATGTTAAAGAGCAAATGTCAAATCTGTGTATTCTCAGAANAGTGTTCGCTCGCCAATTAATTTGTCTCTTGGTGAGAAAAGCCAAACAGGAATCAAGGGGAATGTTAAAGAGCAAATGTCAAATCTGTGTATTCTCAGAATGGAATTAAAACTTGGAGGTGCCATCAATCATTTAACTGGACAGTTGTTTTAGGAGCTGTACAGCCTAAGTAAGAAAATACAAACGTTCTCTGGAAACTTTTTCTCTCATTTCACATATAGACTTTCCTTTGAGCCACGCATGTGTCTGTCTTAAAACGCAGTACCCAGACCTCAGTGGTTTGTCCAACGGGATTGTTAACCTCTGGTGTTTCAACTGCTTAAAAGTAGCAGTAACTTAACTGCTGCATTTTTACTAGGAGACAAAAATGCCATGGAATGCCCAGTTTAACAGAATTCATTCCCTTGGATTCTTGGCTCACCTAGTTCACTTGAGAGACTCATGTTGATTCTGGGGACTGAATTTAGTTATTTAATTATGTAAGACAGTACCAGTCTTTTTTTTTTTAATATGTTTTTATTGATTTCAGAGAGAGGGTGAGATAGAAACATCAATGATGAGAGACAATTATCGATCGGCTGCCTCCTGCACACCCCCTACTGGGAATTAAGGCCGCAACCTGGGCATGTGCCCTGACAAGGAATCTAACCATGACCTCCTGGTTCATGGGTCGATTTCTCAAGTTATTAAAAAGTAAAAATAAATATGGTATTTTGATTCCTCTGTTATTCCAGATATGATCATCAAACTTTTAATCCCAACTTCCATCCCACCAGCAGTGGAAGTTCTACTTCTTGCTTTCGCAAATTAAGTATAGCACTCTTATCAATGCAGATTTTTATTGTTAGTCCAATGTTTTGCAATTCAGTCCTTTGACTGAGAACAAGTCTTAAGATATATGTACATTTTATGACAAGATTTATTCATGTATTCAGACATTTCTAGATTTGACTGATTTCAACATTTACCACCAGTTCCTATTATTACATAACATCTTCAATCTTAAGCTCTTATTTTTGTCTTGTTTCTCAGTTGTTCAGTGTATATTTTCAGTAATATTTGTCAAGAAGAGAGCATGAACACCAAAGACATAAGTGAGTAAATTGCCACAGGACCCACACGCTTGGCTCATGAATCTCTTGCAGATTGGGGCTGATGGTGACGAGCCCAACTCTGAGCTTCTGTGGTCTCTACTCAATGTCCCTCTGCCACATTCTGTGGCTTCATGTCCCTGCCCACACTGCTTTTACCAAAGCTTGTAGCTCACTCTCCCCTTCTAAATTAGTCCATGAAATCCAAGGATCTGGAAACTGCTGCTTTATGGCAGTAACTAAATCATCTGTAGTGTCATTTCTCTAATATAGATTTTGATTGTGAAGTTTTCATTTTTGTTTCCCTACATACCCCAAATTTCTTCCTTTGACTCTTTTATAGTAATAGCCAGTCCTCTTGTATTTTATTGTCAACAAAAAGCAGGTGCTGTCTATAATTGTCTTTTGTTTAACATAATTAAACAAAATGTGCCTTCTCTTATGGCATTGTTGGCAGGAGTAAAGGAGACAGGTTATGTAAGGCAGTCACACCGACTAGGGAAGGGCAGATGTGACAGTGTCAACTCCAGAGGGTGGAGGCTGTGATGCCCTGCTGTGTTCACCGTAGAAGCCTAGCACTACTGCCTGGCACCGTTTTATAATAGTCGTTCAATATGAATAGATAAATGAGTGCTCTATCAATAAGAAATATTGTCAGAATTATGATTATTTTTATGAAACACAAAGCAAAATATTCAGAATTAAGAAGGTAGGACTCTAGATAATCTCAATAACTAGTTATCCATCAAACACTGAGCACCAACTGTGTGCCAGGCCCTCTGCTGATATCTTTGTAAATTCAAATGAGGAGACTAAGAGTTCGCAAAGGGAAAGGGAATAGAAGTTACCTAGAAACTGGAAGAAGTGAGATGGAGCTCGTGTCACTTTAAGCTGAGACCTGTTGGGCCTCCCTCAAGGACAGACTCTGCAGTGTCCAGAGAACAAGGTGGGTTTAACAAGCCTCATGATGCTCTCATTGGCCTTCTTCCAAGGCCATTCCATCCCCTGCTCCCACCCAGGGAGGTTATCAGACTAG